ACAAGGATATATATGCTTATATATACATATATATATATATATATATATTTATGTATACATATATACATAAATACATACATACATACATACATTGATACATTGATACATATATATTTACATACAAAAATACACACATACGTACCTATATATATATATGTCAGTAAACTGAGTGTCTATTGAGTAAGTTAGCTATGCTCAATCAATCACTTACGAATTGCTTACCAAGTACATGTACTAGTAATATGATTATATGTTGCATATGATCTGCTAGATGGACTGTTTATGATATGTTTTATTGGTCATGAATAGTGAATATACGCTGCTATTTATTAGACTGTACCCAAAACATACGATAAGTCAACATGTAGAGGCAGATCTTACAGTATTTTATTTGTATTATATTCTTTACCTTTTTTCTTAAATTCTTAAATGTATTCCCCTCATCTTATGACGCATAGCTGAGTCTGCTTAAAGCGCATGCAAGCTTGAGACATGTGTATTTTATCTGTACAAACTCATCTCTAACGATAGCCTGGTGTATTATTTTAGTACAACGACGCTAAGAGAGCATTACGGGTCCTACTATATATGTATGTACGACTTATTGTGCCTGAGATGATTCAGCTCTCGTTCTGATTTATTTGCGAACTTCAAACCACTACCTACTATATTTGCGTACATCATTCACGTCCGAGCATATTTGGATAATTCAGATCACTTCCTCGTGTGGCGAAGTACTACGTATGCCACCATTCTTGAAGGATGTACCGTTTATCTGTTCCTGATTTAGTTCTGTTCTTCCATTTCAAAATTTATTGCAGGGCTTATCTAGAGCGCGTGTACGAATACATGTGTGGTCAGTGGACATGTGCTCTCACTGGGAAAACGGTATGTCTGCAATTCCGCTGGTTGCTTTCCTATTTCGTTGCGTCTCAAGCTTGACACGGTTCGAATTGTTTGTATTTTCGCTGTGCCAGCTGTGAGAAGATTTTATCGAGTGATGAGTGAGTCGCAATATGTGTACTTCGCTTTGTTGTTATTTTACATACAACAACGTACCTAAGGTGTGTTCCATTGATAGTAGTTAGCGCCTGCATTTTTTAGCGCTTAAAACTGGCAATTTTAAGCACAGTCTACCATCTCAATATTCTCCGTCCTTCCAATCAACCCATCTCTATATATTCATGCACCTTTACTTCAACAATCTCACAGGGTTTTTCGTACGAGGAAGCATTGGAAAATGAGCGAGTGGCGGCCGAGAAACTCAACCAATTTCCGGAGACTCACCTCAAACCTGTGCTGGAAGCAGTACACCATGGTAGGTACCGGATGTTTCATAAATGTATTGGCTCTCATCGAGCGCATGGCGACGTTCATTCTTCTGTCATGCACTCATCTCTATGTATATATTGGCTTCCCTCAAGCGCCTTTCAACACTCTGTATCCATAGATCCTTCGTAGCACTATAAAACAGTGGTTGGGAAGTGCAATCACCTTGCAGAATAATATTCATACAATGATAGTATCCAGCATGCATGCTTTACAGTCAATTTTACCTTAATATGTCTATGCTGGTAGCTGGACAGGGCCAAAGATATTTTCAATATCTCCGTTTGACAACATGAAAATGTCGTCTTCTATTGCCACAGTTTGCCCTTTCCTGTAATTTACTGTCAGTGCCTTTCGCCTGGAGTCATTCTTCCACATTGTAAGTTTCCCACATGGTAGCTTTCAACACACATCCACGGATTGCTTCTATATAGAAGGCATATATTGCGTAGCGTGAGCGATACACTATACCATATATGTACACTGTACAGCTTGAGCGATGTGTTGCCTTGAAAATACACCTCTGTCAGACTATCCAATCGAATACGTACGCTTGCAACTATCGGACAGGCACAAACATACTTGTATTTTGATCAAGGACACATTCGCCCTCATACGCGTTTGAATCGGATGTACATATCAACAAAATGCTGGAATTCAGGCGTCACAGGTAAGTACTCGCCACATAAAGCTCGGGCTCCATCATTGAGTATTAGATGCAAGCTCGTACAAACTCTACAGTATACCGTAAAACCCCTACACACCCTATCCGTCGGCCCCGAACCCTCAACCCGATTTCAACTACCCTCTTTGCAGCTGTGGGGAATATCGAGTCTGTAGTGGATATGGTGTACAACAGGTACAAGCGAGAGCTGTGCGTGGACGAGAAGGTCCAGTACAGAGCACCCGGCGCCAAGTCACTGTATGTGTCGCATGCTTTTCTGTATATCTGTATACTCGTGCAGGCTTCGCAATTGTTGTCTCTTCTGTGAGTGGTTTGAATGCTGTACAGTCTGTGAGCTACTCGACTTCGCTGGATATAAGCGATATGTTAAACCATGCACAGGTTTAGGGGGACCCTGATAGGTGCGCTATATCGTGCAATATCTTTAGCAGTTGAACGAATAGTTCGCAACGTTGGCGACTTGCAGATTGTCTCAAAGCATAAATGCGCTCTACATTTCCAGTCAAAAGTTGTATATACAACTATATAGTGTTTCACAACATGGCCGCCCAGTGGGAGCCAAGTTAACCACAATATCTTCACTTTATACCAAGACCTAAAAAGGCAACTGTATTCGTTGTGTTAAATTTTTTTATGCTGATTGAGGAACTTTTAACACATACATGATATATACCTCACACTACAGACAAGCTACTGTGGTGACCGGAGTGCACATAGTCCCAACTACAAAGAGCCAAGCGCCCTCGCCTGCCCCAGAGATGCCGGATGCTGTGGAAGACATCAAAGCAGGTAGACCAGTATCGATAACTGGATGTCAGCACACACACACACACAGCACACACACACACACACACTCACACACACACACACACACACACACACACACACTCACACACACACACACACACACACA